AGTTTTAACACAAACATTTATTTTTTCATATTGCACCAGGACAGTTAATGAGCAACCTGTACTTGTGTGCTTGTTTGTTCTGTCTAAAATGTTTATTTTGGAATAAAGAGGTTAGTATAAAGAAATATTTTTTGTCCGATTCATCGATTTTTAAAATAATCGTTAGTTGCAGCCCTAGGCTCAAGTAATCATGACCAAATATGTAGAGAATATCTCATAATGACACTGATCTCGTAATTATAAGTTAAGCTGTCTGATTTTTTTCTTTGGTGAATGCAGTACACTTCCATACAGGAGAAACTTTAGTTATGTTGCATTTTTACATTGCGTTATATTACTGCATTTTTGTTTGATCAATAATCATTTCCATTACAGCAGCCAAACCATTCAGTTCTCATCTAATAACATGTTAGACATTTAAGACAAGATGCTCAACATATCAGAAGTTATTCCAATATAGAAGAGAGAAAATTAGTGGTGTGGGTGTTGAATTACTTCATTTCTAATATTCTTAATAATATTGTAAAATAAATGAATCAGATGCAGAGACACAAGAGCAGAGGTGCTAAATTACAAAAGATGCTAACCTTCATGAAGCACAGTATTTAACAAAACCCTACAATCAAACAGGAGGAAAGTAATTCCTCATGTATGTGATGTATTATTATAAAAGCTCACTTACTTAAATGTATTATGTATATAAAGCAATTATTTTGACTTTAGTTCACTGACATATGCAGGAACATCTATAGCCAATTTAGAAGGTGATGTTTTTCCCTCGAAATATCCTGTTATAACAAATGTTACACAAGTCACCAAATACACAAAAAAGAAGAATTATATTAAAGAAAAGAAAAAAACAACTGATAGCAAAAAGTGGGCGCGGCAATTTGTGTGCATCGTGTTATGGTACGGCTGCTGAATGCTCTAATGAAAAATAAAGCTAAATACTCACTTGATGGTGCCGATAATGACTTGGCAGAGAGGATAAATGAGCGGCTGGAGAACATCACTGGGATACAAGGTGCTGAGGACCCGACACCACAGGTACAGGCAGTGGATGAACTGCCAGTTATACACCGACTGATACGCCTCCTAAAAACAACAACAATGAATATAATGTCTGTTACAGCTGATCTTTGCTTTCTATCTCCAAATGATTTCATAGTTGATGATTCTTAATGTGTAATGCGGCGTGGCACCTTGTTTTTAAACAGTTGGAAGAAAAGACAAAAACCACATCTTTGCGTGGTCAGTGAATGCATCACACATGTTTAAAGCACCCTAGAACTTTCTTCATTGTGGAAAGCATAGCCCCATTTACCCTTTTGAACCCGCTGCAGAGAATGTTCCGAGCACGGTAACCGAGTAACTGATGAGTGTAAATGGAACGCCACTGAACTGCACCGTGTGAGACACAACCCAAGCATGCTAAATCTAGAACTAGTTCAAGAGTACGGCTCAGCATGGTTCAGCTTAGGGGTGTAAATCACATCCATCATGGCGATTCGATTCAGTATCGATTTCCTGACCCAACGATTCGATTATTTTCGATACTCAAGAATACACCACGGTTCTATTCGATTAATCGATTAATTGGTTATTTTTTATTATTTTTTTTTTTACACCTTACAGGCTAAACAAAGTTTCAAGTTTGAAATAAATCAATGAAAGCTGTAATATCATTATGCATTTTCTTTAAAAACAACATCAAATAACAGAAGTAGAAAAGTTGCATCAAAAAACACTGCAAAAATAATAATAAAATAAAATTATATTTACTAATGTAATGAGTTCAATGCAATACCTCGGCTCCAAAGAAACTGTCCAACATATTTTTTTATATATTCTTTATATTTATATATATTCTGGAAGGTGGCGGTAATGCACCTATAAGTTGTTTGCCAACCGCCATTAAAAAAAAAGAAGAAGAAGGCGGCTCCAGGGTGAAGACGTCACCGCCCCTTGAGAGACGATCCGCTGCACCTCTCCCAGATTGTAGCTGACCGCAAACAGTGCACCAGACAGGAGGCCAGGCTTGTTTTGTTTTTATGACCGAAATTGCGGAAAACAACTCGTGAAGTTTGACCCGCTAGAAGAGCGAGGTGCGCGAGACCGCTGGGACCCTTTTTCCAGCTGAATCTCCGCTCTCTTTGGCCCTCATGTCCCTCCGTCGTCGGACTTAACTCGTCCCCACTTCCTCACAGCCTCGGCCATATCTAGACCCACAGTGTGTAGCACAGACCACGCTTCAATACTGAGCATAAT